CTTTTCTGGCCAGCCAGGCTGCATGCTGACATTAAGGGTCTGGTATGGATTGTTGGGGGAAGGTCACTTTTTTTTGCATCGAGTCCCTGTAAAACCAAGAGCAGACCTGAAAGGACTATTGTATTTTCTGGGGGACCTCATGCATTTCTTTTGCGTGATGTACCCCCTTCATACCAGACTCAAAGTATGTATTTTGGTGGAGACTCTACGCATTTTCATTCTTGCTGTAGGTAGAATGTGCTACAGCAAAAGCAACATGTACAAAGAAATTAATCATAGAGCTTAAGTTGCTGGCAAATGACTCCCATTGCCTGTGAAAAAAAGGTCCACCAAAAATTCACAAAAGACCCTTATAGGGTCTGTGTACTTTTTTTTTTTTTTACCTCTCTGGTGGTATTCCTGAGTGTAGCTCGGGGTTAATTATCAGTGCCAAAAGCGGTAACCCCAAGCTACACTTGGGAATACCCTGCAGCGTTGCTCTGTGATCCCTGTTTCACTTACCTTGTCCTTCGCTCCTGCGATATCCCCCCTTGCAGCGTCCCCGGCCATGTCCTCTGGCCGATGCCGGCATCCGTCTTCCGGGTTCCAACCCCTGCAAGCGTCGGGACGTATGGGGGACAGAACTGGCGGGAAATGTAAACATTTTAAAAAGTGACATTCACTAAATACACGAAAATCACATAGTAAAACATTACTGTTTCAAACCATTTCACATACATTTTGTCCCGAGTGCTTTGTCCTGTGCCCTGCCTGCATTTTTACTGTTCTTTCTGCCTGGAAACTGAGAAACGTCCATGGCGTCCAAAAAGCGTCCCTTTAGGTCTAGACCGGCCAGAGAACAGCGATAGTAAATTAGAACCACTTGCAGAATTCAGTGATGATTCGTGGGGGAAATTCGTCATCAGACACTGAAAACGATTCTGCGACTTTGCTCAGTGATGTGTGAACTTGGCGCTCTATTTCAAATTTCAGTGTTTTTGGTTTGATTATATTATTGAATTAAATTTATTATTATTATATTATTATTTTTTATAATTATTTATTATATTATAATTTATGATTTCGTGTTTCAAATTTTATCATACCCGGGATGTTTACTAGACTCTTGTTCGGACAGATTTCAGTGAGTTATTCCTAAAAATAACAGGCCTACAATAAAAAAATGGCATATTTCCATGCAAAAAAAGTACCGATTTGAGCACAGAAATACTGACATAATCAGACCGCTAGGGTGGTTAAGCTGCAATTAATATCGATGTCATTTGTTGTAGTTTTTTTTTTTTTTTTTACAGGTACTTATAATGCACTGTCCATTTACACAGTTCTTTACATATATATTGTACATTCACATCAGTCCCTGCCCTCAGGTAGCGTACAATCTAAGGTCCCTAACTCACTTTCGTACATACACATACTAGAGCCAGTTTAGGTAGGATCCAGGTAACCCCCACATAGGCACAGGGAATTTTAAAACTTTTTTCCTCTGTAAATGTCTGTGCAGCTTCAGCACATTCTGTACATCAGAGAAATGTTGAGAGATGTTATATCAAAGAAGATAAGACAATTAAATGAAACAAACAAACCAATTTTACAAAGCAAAACTTCAGTAAAACAGCTAAATACACATATAATGTAGCTGTTTTACCTACCAAACTATTTATATTTCTGTCTGTCCAGTTCTGATATTTACACTGCTCTGACACTCAGTACAGCCAGGTGGATGACATTACTTTTTCAGTTACAATTATAGACTGTAGAACAGATAAAGTGCTGTCTTATCTTCATCCTTAGCCTGATTACTGGTAATGCAGGCCATAGACGAGTTGAAAATGAACTGAAAATTCTTAAGATTGTCAGGTCATTTGGTTTGCTCATCATTAATGTGCCAGCTGCGACATACAATTTTCATGTCCCAATCGATTCATCATGCTGGATTTTTTTTTCTTAAAAAACAAAACAAATGATGGCACAATTGTATACACCATTTTCATTTTTCAATCTAAAGAACGTTTGGTTTTCAATTCCTCTATGGCCAGTTTAGGTGAAAAAGCAGAAGGAGATGGAGGAGGTCATCCCTCTGATTTCACCTCCCATTAGCATATTCCTAGCTAGTTTATTTGTATCCAGCACACCTAAATGGCTGCTCGTCCTGCTCCTTCTTCTTTCTGTCTGAGCGCTGTTGTGTAGGGGATTTCAAAGTGACAATACCTAGGGGCTGATTTACTAAAACTGGAGAGTGCAAAACCTGGTGCCACTCTTCATAGAAACACAATCATCTTCATCAAGATGTCAAAGCTTAACCCCCCTGGTGGTATTCCCGAGTGTAGCTCGGTGTAAAGTTTCAGCACCACAAGCGGTAACCCTGAGCTACACTCCAGGATCTCTTCTGCACTTACCTTGTCCTGCGCTCCTGCAATGTCCCCCCTGCAGTGTCCCTGGCAATGTCCTCCAGCCGATGCTGGCATCTGTCTTCTGGGTTCCGTTCCCTGCGATGTCGGGCCGTGCGGGGCACAGAACTGGCGGGAAATTTGAAAGTTGTAAAAGTGACATTCACTGAATTCACTAAAATCACATAGTAAAACATTACTGTATCAAACCATTTCACATACATTTTGTCCCGAGTGCTTTGTCCTGTGCTCTGCCTGCATTTCTACTGTTCTCTCTGCCTGGAAACTGAGAAATGTCCATGGCGTCCAAAAAGCGTCCCTTTAGGTCAAAAGCGGTTTTAGACCAGCTAGAGAACAGCGATAGTAAATTAGAACTACTTGCAGAATTGAGTGATAATGATTCGTGGGGAAATTCGTCATCAGACACTGAAAACGATTTTGTGACTTTGCTCAGTGATGTGCAAACTTGGCACTCTATTTCAAATTTCAGTGGTTTTGGTTTGATTATATTATTTAATTAAATGTATTCTTATTATAATATTATTTTTTATTATTATTTATTAAATTATAATTTATGATTTCGTGTTTCAAATTTTAACATACCCGGGATGTTTACTAGACTCTTGTTCGGATAGATTTCAGTGAGTTATTCCTAAAAATTACAGGCCTACAATAAAAAAAATACATATTTCCATGCAAAAAAGTGTACCGCTTTGAGCACAGAAATACTGACATAATTATACTGCTAGGGAGGTTAATGTGTTATACCTAAAAAAACTACTTTGCCATCATAGAACTTTCACTAGGGTTAAGATATATTTATATTTTAAAGTGGGAGATGTTTTACCCAGAGAGTTCATTTTGCCAATAGGGACCTCGCATGCGGTCAAGCTATAATTATGTTTTTTAAAATGAAAATTTTAAAAACTCACGCTGGAGTGAAGCTATATTAATGTTCTGAAAGTGGGAATTGGTTTATAGAGAATACCCATTTTAACATCAGGTAACAAACATAGAGTGATATCATTGTTCTGTTCCAAAATTGGTAGATGTTATACCCAGAGAGCCCACCTTACCATCAGGGAACGTACCCTGGGGTGAAGCCATATTCATGTTCTTAAAGTGGTACTAAACACACACACTGTTTAACCCCTTGGCACTGGCGCCTCCTGGCCCTTTAAGGGTTTCAGAAGCCGGGAGGCGGGGCAGGGTTTCAGGGTCACGTGACTGCTGTGATTTGCTGTCACGGTGGTCACGTGATCGGGAATGGTCCCCGTTAGAAAGAGATCGGGATCTTTCCGCAAGTACCGGACATGTGTGCAAAAAAATGTACCCCTTTGAGCACAGAAATATGGACATAATCAGACCGCTAGGAAGGCTACCTGAACAAGCTGAAATTAGAAGCTGATTGGTTACCATGCACAGCTGCACCTGATTTTGCACTCTCCCATTTAGTAGATCAACCCCCAAAGTCTAATTCAGTTACTTGAAGTGGTTGCATTTAGGGCTCGTTTACACCATGGTGCAGAGACATCAGTTTTATTGCACGTGTTCTGCAAGGGCAGAATGCAGTCAATTGTTCTCTTATGTGCCCTGTTCACACCACAACACTGGAATCACGCTCAGATTTTTTTCTGCACAGGAATCTGCAACATGTATAAAACTCATTGATGCGCGCATGAAAAGTGATGTAAACTGATGTTTCTGCAAGTGAAATCTGCACGTCAGTTTCCATCAGTTTTTCTGCACGTATGGTGTGAACAAGGCCTAAAAAAAACACATGTAATGATTTATAAATGAATGCAGATCTGCAATAACTGGTATTTGTTATATCTGCATGGAGTTCAGCTTTAAATAAACGTTTAGCCTGGGTTCACATATGTGCATTCCTGTACAAATCACATGCGATTCGTATACGGTGCGATTGGAGCCATACATTTTGTATGGCTCTATTCGCACCGCACCCGCACCAAAAACGTGCAGGACCCTTTTTTGGGTCCGCACTAGAATCAGATTGCATAGGCATTCAAACCTATGTGATCCGATTTTGCAAATCGCACCACGTTTTGCAGACCGCTTTCAGGGTGTTACCTTAACATACACACCTGCAGCGGTTCGCATGAATGGGGTGTGATTCTGGTGAGGTATTCGCACTGAAAATGCTGCAAATTCCACACCACATCAGTATGAACCCGGGCTTAGGGAAGAATTATGTTTCAAGGTAAGCGTCTCTCCAAGTTCTTGGAAAGCAGGTTTCTGAATGGCAATAATTCATGACTTGCCTGTTTAGATCTCCCTGACCCACCAACAAGCATGTAAAATCACGATCTCCTTAACCCACTAACAAGAAATGTAAAAGGGAGGACAACTAAGTTATGAAAAATAGTCACTTGGAAATCTGAATCATGATGGGCCCAGTACTTCTTTAAACAACACCAATGTTCAGATTTTATTCAGTTGCCACTTCTGACACAGAACATCTTGTCCACTGTGGTAACTGAGGTGTGAAATAAGAGACAATTTCCTTGTAAACTGTTTTGCACATTCACTACGTGAATATGCCTGAACTCTTGTGTGGACCTTCTCGTGTTGATTCAGATTTGATTTCTGTATTCATTCAGAGCACAAATATGGACGATTACTGGTGTGCATTATTCGATGCGCATCATAATCCAGTTTGCTGTCAAAGGACTTTCCACATTCTGAGCATGAGCACATCTTCTCACCTGTGTGAGTTCTCTGGTGTTTAATAAGGTTTGTTCTTTCAGCAAAACATTTTCCACATTCACGGCACGGATATGGCTTCTCCCCCGTGTGAGTCCTCTGATGCGCAATAAGAGTTCCCCTCCAGGTAATGCATTCACCACATTCTGAACAAGAAAAGAGCTTAGCCCCAGTGTGAACTCTTTCATGCTGGATAAGAGCTGATCGTTCTTTGAAACATTTCCCGCATTCAGAACATGAATATGGCTTCTCCCCTGTGTGAGTCCTCTGGTGTTTTATAAGTAGATCTCTCCACGAGAAACTTTTGCCACATTCTGCACAGGAAAATGGTCTCTCTCCCCTGTGAGTTCTTTCATGAGAAATGAGGCTTCCTCTCAGCGAAAAACATTTGCCACATTCAGAGCAAGAAAATGGCTTCTCACACCTATGAATTCTCTGGTGTGTAATAAGTTTATTTTTGGTGAAAAAACACTTCCCACATTCAGAACAAGAATAGGGCCTCTCCTCAGTGTAAACTCTTTTGTGTGTTATAAGAGACGATTTCCGAGTAAAAAACACTTCCCACATTTCGGACACGTAAAAGGCTTCATCCCAGTGTGAGTCCTTTGGTGGTAAACAACATCTGACTTCCGTACAAAGCATTTCCTGCATTCAGAGCAAGAAAATGGTTTCTCGCCCATGTGAGTTCTCTGGTGTGCTACAAAAAGGGAACGCCAAAGAAAATATTTCCCGCAATCAAAACATGAATGGGGCTTCTCACCTGTGTGAGATCTTTCATGCGCATGCATGTGTGCCTTGTAGTAAAAACATTTCCCGCATGCAGGACACGAATATTGTTTTTCCCCTATGTGACATCTCTGGTGGGAGACAAGTTCTGTCCTCGCTCTACAACATTTGCCACACTCAGAACACGTCAATGATTCACCCGCTTTAGTAGCTGTAGAATGGGCAACTGGTGAAAGGTTATTAGGAAAGCTCCCCTCATGTGCTGGAACAGTGATGTGGAATACAGGATGGAGATTTTTGGTAACAGGCTTTTCTTCTGAAGAATCAGAAGTGATGTAATCAGTTGTTATTTCACCATCTTGAGAAATAGAACATTTTTTAGCATCAGAGCTTTCAGATCATCCATCTGGAGGAAATAGAAAACAGAGGGGGAACAGGACTGGAACTGAGGAACCTGTAAATTCCATAGCTTGGAGTACGTTACAGGACAAAGGCTTAGTATCCATAGACCCTGGGATGTCCTCAAGCAATGAATGAGAAAGGTGGGCAACAGCTAGGAAAATTTAACATTGGCAACAGGTCTAACCACAACAAAAAAGTAAACAGACCCAACTTACAGTGATGCTGCACGAACCTTGCAGTCGATGGCTGTATCTGCAGAAGCCTGGACATCCACCTGGTAAAACTTTAAAAAGGTATGAACAGAAGGCCAGACAGTGACCTTACAGAGCTGTTTTTTCTTGCTTTTAGCAAGGTAGGGATGACAGACTCAGAGATCCCTCTGTCTCTTAAGACATGGGCTTCAACCGCTATGCAATTAAAGCTAGTGACTGAGAAGCAGGATAGAACAAGGCTCCCTGTGACAGCAGGTCTGGCCTGTTGGGAAGAAGACAGGGGTTATTTCCTAGTAATCTGAGTATGTCTGGGTACCAGGTTCTTCTTTGGCACAATGGGGGTCACAGCTTTTTGCCTTTACCTATTTTGTGGTGTATACATGGTAGAATACACATTGGAGGGAAGGCATAGAGTAGCCTGTAGTGAGAGCAGGGGAATATCAAGGCATCTGATGCCAGTGCTAGAGGATCTTTGGACCTGGCCTCAAACAGATGTAGTTTGTTGTTGAATCTGGAGGCCAGGATATATACATCCAAGGTCCCCCATTTCTGGTATATCAGATTGAAAATGTCAGGGTGAATGGGCCATTCCCCCTGATCCAGGAGGTTGTCCACTCTTGGGATGTGGCATGTAGAGATTGTGGGACAGTGAGTTTCTGTCCAAAAGATGATATGGCTTGCTTCCTTCAATTTTGCATGACTCCTGGCAACCCTTGGTGGTTGATGTAGGCAACGGCTGTGGAATCTTCTGATTGCACCCTGGTAGGGTGTCCCTGTAGAAGTGGGGTCCAGTGTTGAAGAGACATTTTAATTGTCCTATGCGCCATAATGCTGACAGGGAGCTTTGCTTTCACCCATGACTATATTCCCTGGAGTGTGAGAGAGTGGAACACTCCTCCCCACCCTGAAAGACTGGCATTTGTTATCATCACTTTCCAGTGACTTCCCTATTGGGGTGAAGATCCACAAAGTTAGAGCATTACTTGCTTGGCTGGACAGCAGAATGGGCAAGTTAAGATAAGGTGCACGATTGTTCCAAGTTGACAAGCTGTTGTGCATGAGAAGCTTTGCCTGGGATGTGTCCAGAACCAGACCCAAGTATTTTAGGTAAAGAGAAGGCTAGAGAGCAGATTTTTAGAATCTGATCACCCTACCGAAAGCCTGGAGCATCTGACTTTTCCTGTAGACATTTGCAGACAGCTGGAGTAGTATAATAAAATATATGGCGAGCGCACGATTATTTTCAAACAGCTGGCATTAAAAATGAACCCTTATATCCTCAAAATGACAAAATAAATATATAATGCAGCGTTAAATTCATAAAGTGACAAATGCATATAAAGTGAAGCGCTTGGTATTAGCGCTAAAGTGAACACAACATATCGTCAGAATTGACGAAAATAAATGTGATTGGAATTTCAATTGTGACAATAGTGAATAATTCCACACAAATAATAGTTGTGATGAACTGATTAATATCGATGAATAAATATAAATAAAAATTGGATATGAAGTAGCATTTAATAAGTCCAAAGTGTTCCGTAAATTTCCGTGCGCGTGACTTCCGTGATAAGGGTTTGCGGTATGATTGCACTCACCAGAAACGCAATGATAATGCGCATGAATATATATATCCTAATAATCCTTGGTGAACATCTGGGCTCAGGAAAGGAAAGGGACTCCACTGGCACACTGACAGCATACAGGGAATGACTCCAGACCTCACACACTGGACCCTCACAGTACACAGGGACAGCTCTGTTAGTACCTCTCCACCAAAGATATGAGTTGCCAAAAGAGGATATTCTCCACCTTGAATGGCTCGCAAAAACAAGCCACAAATGAAAGTACTGATAGTGTAGTATTTTTTATTTCAGAGAAAGATCATTCATATGGGTATATCAGCACACTTACAGAAACAAAATGGCCGCTGCTCTTCCATGCGGCCTCGGCGGCATGGCGTCAGTGTAGCAAGGCTCATCACTGACGCGTTTCGTGCTCATACACGTTATCAAAGGGATTATCAGATATTAATCAGTTCATCCCTACTATTATTTGATGAATAAATATGAATAAAAATTGGATATGAAGTAGCATTTAATAAGTCCAAAGTGTTCTGTAAATCTCCGTGCACGTGAATTCCGAGATAAGGCTTTGTGGTATGATTGCACTCACCAATGATAATTGCGCTTCTGGTATTGTCACAATTGAAATTCCAGTCACATTTATTTTCGTCAATTCTAACGATACACTTTATATATGCTGTGGTCACTTTAGCACTAATACCTTGCGTTTCACTTTATATGCATTTGTCACTTTATGAATTTAGGGCTGCATTATATATTTATTTAGACAGCCGGAGTTCTTCAGGAGAAGGTTGTCCAGATAATCTGTAACCTATTTGCCCCGAGTTCTTAAAAGAGTAAGAATAGGTGGTAGGATCTTTGTGAATATTCTGAATATTATAGCAGAGGATGGGCCAGAAAGTAGTGAAACAAACTGGAACTGATTGCCTTCCACTACAAAGGCATCTTGGATGTCTATGATTGCCTATGTATTTCCCTAGTCTCTTAGAGGAAATAACCAACCTTGCAGATTCCATGTGAAATGTTGGAATTTGAAGGTATTTGTTGCAGGATTTTAAGCCCAGAACAAGGTAAATCCCCCTCCCCTTTTAGCTTTGGTATGCTGTGAACAGGTTTGAATAAAAATCTATGACCCTGCCTTAAGTAGGGGTACTTGCACTCCCTGTTATGAGATGATTGAGGGCATTCCACAAATCTGTCAGTCCTTGGACAACTTTTGGTTGATTTAAGAAAGCAGTAGAGTGTAGAGTTTTGAACTCTACTTAGTACCCCTCTGAAAGCCCCAATTCAACCTACGGGTCTGTGACCCAAAGAGGGGCAAGCTGTACAGATGCCCCCCCACACACCCACACACTCTTAGCAGTGAAAGTGCTCCTTCATTGGGAAGAGGGGTTTATTGAAGACTTGTTGGGCTTTGTAGACCAAGTTTTATGCTGAAAGGAAGTGCTGAACTTTGGTTTACTTCCTCCTTCATAGGGAATACGTGTAAGTCATCTTTTACAGGCATCTTCAGTGACCAGGACTTGAAACACTAGATTCTGCACACATGAATGTAAATCAAAGCCATTCTAGAAATGTACATCATGACTAGTTCTAGGACATCAGAACAAGGATCAGGCAGGAAGAAATTGCTGCAGTTGCTCAGTTAACGTAGAGTCTTGTAAAATAGGATGCTTGGACATTGCCCAAGTCCAGTTAGCTGTGGTCTGACAGACAAAAATAGCAGCAATAGCTGGTTGCAGAACTGGACATGCAAGTGTAAAGAGAGTTTTTAATAGCATCTCAAGTTTCCCATCTGCAGAATGTTTGATTGCAGGAACATCTTCATTTGGAAAAGTGAGATGTTTGTTTGAGGCTGAGACAGCAGGATCTACTACTGGAACAGCCCGCTTCTTAGCGAACTCTTTTTTTTTCACTGGATACAATTCAGCAAGTGTTTTGGAGTAGAAAATCCTTTCCAGGATTGACCCAGTCATTATATATTGCCCATCTTTTTGTTGCTAAAAAAGAAATGTCTTTTTAAACTTAGCAGATCTCTTTGTACCCAAAGGGGCAGGACGGAGGAGAATCAAGTAAAACAATGACAAGGCGCACAGTGGAATTGAGCATATCAATATCAGCAAGCATCTTGTGTGAATCCATAACATCAGGTGCATTGGAGCCTGGAGGAGGGATAACTTGCACTGCCTCCTCTAATACCGCCTCTGGGGCCTCTTTTTCCCACTTCTATGCCTGCCCATTTTGGGACAATCATATTGGGATCTGAGTTGAGTAGAGAGAGAGGAGATGAAGAAAGAGCATAGTGTTTCTGAGCTTTGGACAGAAAAAAACTGCTAGTTGTCCCAGGAATTGAGACATAGTTGTGGAAAATTCCTCCTCCTTTATCAGGCAGGCTGCATGTTGCGTGCCTGAGATGGAGCTAGAATCAGATGCAGAGACCGGTGTTAAAATCAGGTCAATGCTTTTGGCTTTATTCATAGGATTACTTATACAATTTGGTTCAGTTATGTATTGTGCTCTTAAGAGTGTTTCAATCATATCATTCTGAATGACTATATAATTGAGAATAAAGAATAAAAAAAGGGTCCTGCTCTGATGTAAAGGGAAGAATCATCACTCTGAGGTTGAGTGTTGTCAGGGCCTTTAACAATATTTGCCTGAAGTTTTGCCAAGGCTCCCTTTCTCCTGGTTTCCACCATTGTTATTGGTGAGGTTAATGCCCTGTGGGGCACTCACCCAGTGGTTTGCAGAAATAAGGTAAGTGTGTCAAGAAGAAGAATGCAGTAACCCTGGTGCAAACCATGCTGTAGTGAAGTCCTTCATGGTGAGACAGCAGAAGAATGCAGTAACCCTGGTGCAAACCATGCTGTAGCGAAGTCCTCATGGTGAGACGGCAGAAGAAGAAAGCAGTAACCCTGGTGCAAACCATGCTGTAGGGAAGTCCTCATGGTGAGACGGCAGTAGAAGAATGCAGTAACCCTGGTGCAAACCATGCTGTAGCGAAATCCTCATGGTGAGACGGCAGAAGAAGAACGCAGTAACCCTGGTGCAAACCATGCTGAAGCG